CCTCCTCCATGTCAGGAATATCATCTAGATCTGGTGTTTCTCCCCACCATAGCACCCGACTCCGAAACAATTGACACATCTGCCATCACGCTCGCCAGTCCATCACCATCCAAGTCTGGGATATCATCGATCTCGCCTGGGTTTGCAGCAGAGTCCACTGTGGCATTTGCCCTGCATGCGTTTCTACCCACTCATCGGCTGTGCCCAAAGAATCTCCGAAGGAGAGAAGTCGCTTGGCATCTTCATCGGCATCTGTGTAAGTGAGTGAAGTTGCTCGTCGAAGGCAGGGGACACCATGAGTATGAGGTATTGTTTTTCAGCAGGGAGGTAATCATGGGCTTCGGACGCATCTCCTTTTTCCCTGGAGTATGGGGATGGGGTTTGGTGGGCTGTACTAGGATTGAGGAAGTGGTTGCATGCACCATGTCCATACTGGAACTTGTATGATAGGAAGTCTCCTGCTGTGACGAATTCCTCTGAAAGCGATGTGAAAGAGAAATAGTGACTAGGCTGTTTAGAAACTAGTGCTACTTATCCAAATAGGCATGAGTGTAGTATTCGACCCAAGAGGACTGCTATTGAAGCAACTCCCTACTAATAAGCAAGGGGAGTGATAGTGTGAAGGGCTAAAAACCTATAGCGACCTAAGACTAAAAACTAATGAGTAGTGCTGTAGCGATCAGCTACAAGTGAGTTCTGACAGAGAAACGTGCATATAAGTGAGAGGCACTATGCAAGTTGTTTTATGCAATAGTGCTGTGTGACGTCCGACTAGCGACAGCAAGAAGAAATCAAAGAGAGCGAGAGCAGAAAGTAAGATATGACAGTGCAAGTGAAATGCCTGGTAGCGACTAGATTGTAGCGTGACTACCGATAGCGATCCCGACATTGCGAAGTCAAACTTAAGAGGGAATCCTTAGCAACACGCACTTAAAGCAAGTCAAGCGACACGCGATCAAAGAGATTGGCAAGAGTGGAATCGATTGCTCCAAGACTAAGATATAGCGACTAAGGCAACTCCGACACACCAGCAAGGTCCGGGGAAAGGAAGTGATGTACTGTATGTGCAATGGGTCATTTTATGATACTGCGTAAGAGTTTGGAATTGCGTAGGAGAGTATAGTAGTGACACTGGCGAGGGCACAATGTAGCAACAGGTAATAAAACATGCAGGCCGCGGAACATGAGGATACAGGTAATAAGACCTGTGACTGATCAGTAGTGACATGTAAGGACAAATAACGCACCAGTGGAGGTAGGTGGACATAGGCAGGACATGGGAGGACGGAATACCTAGGTGTTGGACCAGGTAGCGCACTATGGGAGAAAAGTGGTTCCAAAGCGGAGAGCTTGGGAGTTGATAGCGCTGGTGACTAGCACTTTACTCTTTTCCTCTAGACAAGGCAAAACATGCCTATGACACTCATACGCGCCTAGCACTGGTATGATTGTCACAGCGAGATCAGGATGGGTATGCTTGTGGTTGGTGAAGATGGAGTATGTACCGGGAGTTATGCGTACATGTTCTTTGAACTTGCTTTCTTTGAGGACCTGGGTATTGCTTAGAATTAGCGATAGACAAGTGCAATGGCACGCACTGGGCTGAGATAGTCGCGAATGGCCCAATATTGTTGCTAGAAATGACCTTGAGCATCTTCGAGCATGATGCACTTTGGTCACCCCATTTCAGGTACCTCTTAGGTTGTATTATACCTATAAGGGTTTTCACCTAGGGGGTGCTTTCCAGGTGGTCTGGCCAATGTTTTCTGGTCTTTTCCCAAGTGCATAGGGTCCAAGATGAAATGTGTTGGGCATGGTCCCGGATCAAAATAATTTTTGTATGGGAAAGACCGCCAGCCAACATTGGACCACACATACATGGGAATTTCCCATGGTGTAGGGGTGTTAGGGGTCCTATTATGACCAAAAATTTTGCCCAAAAAAAAAGAAAATTGTAGGTTTTTTCTTGGTCCCCAAGCCAAGCCAAGCCAATGTGTCCCATAATGACTACAATGCCTATGAGATATTTTTCCAAAATAGGGTCAGAAAACTGAAAAATGATCATTCATTCACCCCACCCCCAGCCCAGGATCCCTCTCCCCTGAAAATCTTCACTCATTTACCTCACATCTATGCCAGCTGAACCAGGATGCTGCATGGGTTTTATGTGCCATGTTACCAATGTATAGCTGCAAACTGTCACACTCTAAAGGCCAATATAATCATGCTGCAACATGCCCAGAAACCTTTGTTGCCTACTAATACTGCTCATTATGCAGCTCACTTTAGGTGCATTTTTATCAAGTATGTATGTACACTTACCAGTTATATGTTCACACTTGTTTGACCCAAGTAAATGCACTTGAACTGTATCCTCCTAGTTGATCAGCAGCACTTGCACACTCTACTCACACCCCTTGTCCAAGTCATCAATGATGTCTTTATGCCATGATAGCATTCACAGTTGCACTTGTCATCACCCATGCACTGATTCGATGCCAAAGCTGCTTGCACTCCAATTCTGTGACAACATGCAGATAGGCATTAGCACGGGTCATGGGTAAGAGTACTGGTGGGTACGGGTGCGGGTCAGGATTTTGAGACCCATGACCTGTGTACCTGTCACTTCCACATATGGTCATCTGCTGCTCACCACCAAGGCAATGGTGAAGGCTTGGATCAGGCTATCGCCCTTCTCATGGAAGCACTGGCCTTGCACCTGGTCAGTCACACAGATCAGTCCATGTCATTAAATAACCTTGCAGTTCAACTCTCCACCCACTTTGACTACTGAGGCAATGATGAAGATTTAGTTACTATTATTGATCTGTAGTGACTAAATGTTTCCTAGTATAGTTTGAATCTATACCCACATGTTTACTACCATACCTGCGCAACCTGCCAATACCTGTTGGTACCCTTTGATACACAGGTACGGGTATATGGTATGTATGGGTGTGGGTAGGGCTCTGTACACCTGTATGTTTACTCATGCTAATCCCTACACGCAGATCCCTAAGCTGGATCCAGAATGATGACAATCTTGAACTTGAGGTTGACTATGGACAGCATGCAGATGCCAAAAAAAAACAAAAATATCCATGTACCTCCTTCAGATGCAATTGAATTGATGGATGATGAAAAAGTGTTTGATCATCTGGTTTGATCATCAGCATTTGTCGAGAAGATGAGAGAGACACTTACCTGCATACCGTGATTACTGCAGAATTCATAGGATCTGTTCTTTGATCTAGCCATTGGGGAAACAGTCTGCGAGACCACCAATGAGGCCATATCTTCCATCATTGGCCAAACATTGATGGATGAATTTGAGGATGCTGGGTACATGAGGGAGTAGACCAAGGTAGATTCTTGATCGGGTTGGGCCTGCTCAAAGTTCATGTGCACTTTACACACATGAAAGGGGTGAATTCCAGAGGTTGAATTTGATGATTTTGTTGTAGCATTGCACAAGAGCAGCACACAATAACAGAGTAATGCAAGCACATCACAGATGAAGTAGTCTCCTGGTCACTAGTACACATCATCATCAGTTTCTTCCATGTCTTAAGGTAGTATGGTGGTAGAATGGCAAAGAACATAACATTAGAAGGAGCGTAATTATGGAAGAGCCAGATTTCAGATTAGGGTGACATGGACAAAATGTTTGAAAGAAGCACGGTGGTGGAAGGGGCCAGATCTCCATGGTTGACACACACAAAATGTTGGAAGGAGAATGGTGATGGAAAGGACCAAATTTATTAGGGTTGACAGACACAGGAGGACCGCACTGCATGGAAAGCCCATAGTCAGACAGGGGAAGGACACAGTGCATAGGAAAGGCCCATAATCGGATATGGGAAGGACCACGGTGGATGGGAAAGGCCCATAATCAAATATGGGAAAGGCCACAGTGGATGGGAAAGACCCATAATCAAATACTGGAAGGACCACAGTGGATGGGAAAGGCCCATAATCAGATACGGGAAGGACCACGGTTGATGGGAAAGGACCATAATCAGATATGGGAAGGTCCACGGTGGATGGGAAAAGACCATAATCAGATATGGGAAGGACCATGGTGGATGAGAATTGCCCATAATCACATGTGGGAAGGACCATGGTCGATGGGAAAAGACCATAATCAGATATGGGAAGGACCACGGTGGACAGGAAAGCACTATAATCAGATACGGGAAGGACCATGGTCTATGGAAAAGACCAAAATCAGATATGGGAAGGACCAGTGGATGGGAAAAGACCATAATCAGATCCGGGAAGGACCATGGTGGATGGGAATGACCCATAATCACATGTGGGAAGGACAACGGTCGATTGGAAAAGACCATAATCAGATATGGGAAGGACCACGGTGGACAGGAAAGCACTATAATCAGATACAGGGAAGGACCACAGTCATGGGAAAAGACCAAAATCAGATATGGGAAGGACCACAATTGATAGGAAAGGCCCATAATCAGATTCAGGAAGGACCATGGTGGATGGGAATGGCCCAAAATCACATGTGGGAAGGACCACAGTTGATGGGAATGGACCATAATCAGATCCAGGAAGGACCATGGCGGATGAATGGCCCATAATCACATGTGGGAAGGACCACAGTTGATGGGAATGGACCATAATCAGATATGGGAAGGACCATGGTGGACAGGAAAGCACTATAATCAGATACGGGAAGGACCATGGTGGATGGGAAAAGACCATAATCAGATATGGGAAGGACCAGTGGATGGGAAAGGATTTTGTGGGGTTGACATGGACAAGAATTTTGGAAGAAGCACAGTGATGGAATGGGCTAGATCTCTGAGGGTTAATATACACCTGAATTTGGAAGGAGTGCGTGATGGAAACAACCAGTTGACATGGACAAGAATTTTGGAAGAAGCACGGTGGCGGAATAGGCTGGATCTCTGAGGGTTGATATACACCTGAATTTTGGAAGGAGTACAGTGATGGAAATAATCAGTTGACATGGACAAGAATTTTGGAAGAAGCACGGTGGCGAATCTGGATCTCTGAGGGTTGATATACACCTGAATTTTGGAAGATGCACAGTCTGTCAGTTGATACAGAGTAGAATTTTGGACGGAGCATGTAGTAATTGACCAAGTGAACATACTTATCTATATATCACATATCAAGTGTGATGGATAAGACTCAGGGGCATTCAAATAATTTATAGTTGATTCAGGTTGAAGACCCAACTCAAAAATCAGAGTCAGGATCAAGGTATGAACCACTAAGTCTGACTCCCACTAATAACACTATGTAAGGGCATCAAAGCTTTGATTAATATAATCAACTGGCCTCCCTAACATGGGAGTAGGGGATGTTATAGCAGCGGCGTGGCAGTATGTTGACTACGTAAGCTAACTAACACTATGTAAGAGCATCAAAGCTTTGATTAATAATCAACTGGCCTCCACTAACATGGGAGTAGGGAATGTTATATGCAGCACCGTTTTTTAAGTGACAATTTGGTAGGTGATGAAGGCATAAAACTATCCTCAATATCATCAACAAAATCCTCATCCTGATCCCTGTACTCATCAGCTAATGCAACCTCTTCAATTGCATCCATTAGTTCATCATCTCCAACCTCACAATATGCCGGATCACCTTCCTTGTCACTTTCTTCCTCTACTCCAACACTCTCATCATCATCGTCGTCCTGGAAAAATGATGAGTGCACCTGGTCTTGAGCAGCTCGAAGTAAGTCTTCATTTTGAGGACCCCAACTCTTGACTGGCCACACACAAGGGATCTCTCGAACTTTCTTCTTCCAGACAACACAAATGTGAAGAAGTTCGTCTGCGCGGCCCTGGATGTGGAATGACATTACAAGATCATCAGCTGCCAACAAATTAAGTGTGATTCACATTCACTGTCTACTGAGACTAGACACACCCGCATCCCTCAACACAGTTTTTATGGCCTCCCACTCTGTGAACATCCACTCCTGCATCACAGACCACTCTTGCATCAAACGAGTTTCTTCCTCAACGCACCAATCCACTTCAAGTTGTAAATGAATACCAGACCTAGTGGCCTCATCCAATAACCATGCCGGTGCATGCATACCATCGTCGTCAAGGCCAATATCCTGCCAGATCTTGTCATCAACATTGAGTAGAAAGATGCCCTCATGAGCAATAGGGTGAGGTGGAATAGCAGAGGGGGGAGCTCTTCCCTGATGTATGAGAGACTGTAGCTGAGTACATAGGCCATTGTAAGTCGAAACCAGTTTGAGAATCCCGGGTTCTCGGTGTTTGATTGAATACTGGGTGTTCACGTGAAGCTTATGTTCCACTGAAAACACATGAGACGTGCTGAGAGGAAGGCCAAATAGCATTAATGTACCATTAACTGTTGCTCAATATGATCTCTCTAGCCTCTCCAATTCAAATTTGCGTTGACGGAGACAGTCCCGAATACGAGTTTTTACTGCGTGAGCATTCAAGCGGACTGTAAGATAGATGTCGTTCTTCATCGTCTTAAGATTGGCCTTTCCTTGCGTTCCAAGAGCAGCTGTATGACGTCAAAGGGTATCTGCAATTTTGGCATGTCATGACCGAGCATCGGCGAGCTGCAGATTGAACTCCACAACATTAGCAACAGAGCCTACATAAAGCTGCATCTTTAGCTCACGGACAGAAGTCTCGTGAGCATCCAGGGTCTTCTCCAGTGCAAGGATAGTTGTGATGACCTCCGCCGCCTTGTTCTGGGATTGCCCTATACAATATAATCAGTGAGGCAGCGAGAACACTAGTAGAACTCTTACATGGGGTGGTGTTAAGACTGTACTCAAGAGGTATCGGATCCGAAGGGCTTTGGCCTCAGCTCGTGCACTGTGCCCCTTTCCCGAGTCTTACCCCTTATTTCAGAGTACTAGAGTATTGTGTCTAGTGAGATGGATAAGTATCATAACAGATCCATTAAGGCTTCTGGATATCGGACATGTAGAGTAACGGCTAATCCAGATCAGATCTGAACTAGAAACTAACAGGTGAGGACTGTCTGAAGACAGAGGCGGATATATAGACTATAGGAATCAATCCTAAGTCTCGGAGTAGACAAGAGTATTGTACTCAAGTCCGGACGGATAACAGAAGGACTTAGAGTCCAGATGGAATGAGTGCAATCTAAGAAGATATTCAAACTGATCTACTACAGTGCATGTACAAGGGTTTATATACTACGGATAACTAATGGAATGATCAAGAAGCAAAGGCACGAGGCTATGTACGAAGTATAAGCAAAATATGTGCACAGTGTATTGGTAAGTCGGATGGATCACAAATCATGAACCAGGAATGAAGTATAAGTTAAAGTGGATCAGTAAGTGTAGCGGATCAGTAAGCATAGCGGAAGTAAAGGATAACTGGTATACCGGTGTACAGGAATACCGAAAGGAGATGAACGCTAGTTAGAGTTATATGAACAGGACATGAAATAAGAATCAGATTGGATCTGTGGACTGGACGACAGATATGTCCATTGGATCTGAGATCTGGATCTTTGGATCTGTACCCAGATATATTGTCATATCCCGTATTCCGGACCTTCGTCCGATGATGTTCCCATGCCTTCCGGACGCCTTCCGGATGCACATCCGGACCTCCATACCCTTATCCATGACTCCATACCCTTATCCATGACTCCATACCCTTATCCATGACTCCATACCCTTATCCATGCCTTCAGTCCTCCAGTCCACTATTGGTTTGAATCCGTACACCTTCGTACATCCATATATCAATACCTTCGGACCTCCGCAGCTAAGCCTGCTTCATCCACCCTTGGTCCTATCGGATCCGAGCTCATTCCATCTCGGACTCTACCTTCCCTAGACTATCGGTCTATATCCATGATCCATATCCTAGTCTCGTATTCAGCTAGATCTCCGGATCCACTCATCCGATATCCAGACGCTTCATCCGATATCTCTAGACCTCCGGATCCGACCTATACTCATATCCGAGGCCCAAACCTTAAATCAGCGCCTATCTCCTTATGGTAATCCCCTTGACTCCGGACTTCGGTTATCTCTGTTTCCGTCTTGCTTATTGATCCTTGTACTCTGTTCATATCTGAGTTCATTTACTTATGTTCCGTTCATACTTACTAATATGTTTCCACATGCTCGTACATAGCATTTGTGTTCAGCTTACCTGATCCTCTCGGATCGCGTCCAGTATATAAACCTCTGTACAACTCCTGTAAAGTTTCCTTAGTTCGAATATCGCCTTAGACTTTGCTCTGTCTCAACATAGACTTGCTCTCTCGCACATTAGACTTCACTCATTCTTGTCTCGGACTTTGGTCCATCTGAGTTCTGCCTTTCCATTAAGGCCTAGGGATGGATTCCCTAGGCCGGAAATCCAGACCTTCAGATTTGTCCCCTATGTCTCTGTTCTGAAGTCTAGGGATTGATTCCCTAGACCGAAGTTTTGCCTTTCCGGCACTTCCTGTCTTTCCGAGACTTCTGTCTAAACCCGTCTATCCGACTCTACCATAGTGTAGTCTACCTCTGTTTGTTTCTACTCTGGACCTTGTCCATAGTAGCCTTTCCCCTCCTGTCCTAATCCTGTCCGCTCCTCCGGTCCTCGTAAACCTTCGGACCTTCGGACATCGTAACCTTCGGACGTCGTAACCTTTGGACGACGCAACCTTGGACGACGCAACCTTTGGACGACGCAACCTTTGGACGATGCAACCTTTGGACGACGCACCCTTTGGACGTCTTAACCTTCGGACCTCCGGACGTCCTGTCCTTCAGACCACTCCTCCTATCCTATCCTGCTTTGGACTCTGTCCCTTGCAGCCTATCCTCTATGTGTTTCTATCTAGGGAACTTACCTTGGGAAGTCTTACCTTCGGATCTGATACAGCGGATGAAACTCCTCTGGAGTTTCCTATACTCCTCCGGAAGTTTCTCGCACTCATCCGGAAGTCCTCTAGCACTCTACTAGAGTAGCCAGCCTCCGGAAGTCCTTCGGACTTTGTTGGATTCCATCTGGACTTCATTCTGAAATTAAGGGCATGTACTCGGGTAAGGGGCACAGCGCACGAGCTGAGGCCAAGCCCTTCGGATCTGTCTACCCTTGAGCTACGGTCTTAACATATATGGTATATGACAGGTGGGTTTGTGTCTGGTGAGCAATTTGCGCCTTCCATTCAGCACAAAGGATATCCTCGTCAATGTCTAAGTCCAGTAAACTGTCCAGAGCTGCGTTCTTCTTTGTCTGGCAATGTAGCCATCGCCGATGGAGCCAATGCCCGTAGCCTTGGATGGATTTTGTGTCCAGGTGGTGAATTTGAACATCGAGGATGAAAAGATGTTGATGGAACTACAGTAGAGTTAGAGATGCGATATAATACATGAATGTAGACTTACCCCAGAAACGCGCAACAATGGGATGAGTTGCTTAAGAGAACTCCACAATCATTCGCATCCCTCGCCATCAGACAATCCAAAAACCCTCACGCTTCCTCGGGTGGTAGATGACCTGACAGGGCCATTGATGACCATACGCATGGAATACCGCAACAGCGAAGGATATGCGCAATAGAGTGTTGTTATCGAGAAGTTTCCATTTTCGGCAGCTTCATTCGAGTTGACATCTGATGTCATAGAGAAGTCCTATGGTCATCTGAGGGGGTAGATGCTTGAACAACTGGTCCAGGAGAGCGAGTGCGTAGTGTTGCTTCTCTCCCCGCTGATGTGAGGTTGGCAAGCCAGAGCACACGGTCATGTCTACATAGCAGGGCCATCAGGCCTGTGTCGGTAAAAAAAACGAGTAGTGGCCTTTTCACACTTTTGTCTGCAGCGACAAAGGATTCTCCGCATCCATTCAACACAGACACTGGCACACGCATCCCTTCTTCATAGCAATCCTCGTCCCCTTCCACTCTAAAGGCCCGCATTTGACGTCTTTCTCTGCGACAACTTTGCACAAAATCCTCCATCACTTTGACATCGTCATTCGACAGAAAGAAGGTCGGAGTTGGATTAGGAGGGTTGATACTGCTAGCACCACAAGGATTAGTTGAACACTTTTGAGTAAAGCAAGCATCTATGCAAACAATAACGTCTGGGCTGGTATCATCAATTAAATGTGGTAGAATACGACCTGAGACACAGACTTACATGGAACGAGCATCTGCTCCATGGCAAACATTTCCTCCAAAACAAAGCAGGCAACAAGAACGAAGGTATCCATTTGGCTGATCGATGAGTGGGAGACGCGCCTGGCCCTTCCGAACGTCGGCGATGAGAGCAGAAATGTGATTGTGAGCCAAGATGCTCAGCACTCGGTACCAGTGAAAAGCATTGCCAAAACGACGATGCAAGTTATTCTGATGAAAGACTAAGCATCCTTGTACGCAAGAAGATTTGAAAGGCTAACCTTGCATGACAACTTGTACCCCATTCCATCTAGAAAGGTTTCCACCGCATCACACCACACGGTTTGGTTGGGAGACTGGCGTACAAAGAGAAGACGGATGAACTCTAAAATGCGCAAGTCCACTGCGAGTGAGGGAGTGATAGGAGCACATGGAAACAGACCACGACAAAGGAGTTGGAGGGGGGCAGGGAAACAAGGGCATGTGATGATGTTAATTTCTTTCAATGCTGGAGGGTACATGAGATAGATTGTGGAGAAGAGTGATAAATAACATACCGTTGAAGTGCACACATGCAACTGCAATACTCCGAGTCCTACATCCAGCTTGGCAAACTCCAAGATGTTGCTGAGTTTGTCCTGGCACGTTGGTATAACGTAGCGCCGAAGTTTGTTGGATATAGGATAGATATGGTACAAGGAGTGACAGAATGACATCTTGTGACCATCTACGCCACTTGTTGGCCCTTTTCTATGAGCTGGTGAGACGAAGGCGGATAGGATCATTGTAAAAATGTAGGGAGTCACTGAAGAGAACCTCGTCGGTGGTATGTTCTTGTGTTGCCATTGCCCTGGACACAGACAACGGATGGCAGACATTTTGCTGCATGAGGTGTTGGCGTCCGGGCAAGACCAACACAGGAGGCAGGGTAGGGAGATATAGGTCGAGCTTTCTAGTCTGACAAGGACGTTGCCATGCCGTGTTCATCCAAGACTCACAGACAATAGTGACTGGCTGCGGAATTGAAGGGCATTCTTCCTGTGTGAGGGATATCACCTTGGAGGTTGATGGTTCATGATGGCAGGGCTTTGGACGATGAACAGCTATAATGAATGCCGTGGACTCGAAGTCACATGGAAGGCCACCAACGACACAAAGTCAGTTGGAGGAACTGTCCACGGGCGCGCAGTCTGGGATAGTGCAAAGGAGAACAAATCTGAGGGGGATTAGTACTGGGGATTTGACTGACTGGCAGACTCTACTCTAGGAGTTAATGAGGGTGACGATAACGTCAAATTAATGGAAGAGAAAACTTACTGAATAACATAACTGCATAGCGGATGCTTTCGCATCTCCTGCCATAAGTATCGTAATGTAGGTGTTAGTGGAAATGTGAGTAGAGAAACATGCACAGTCAATCCCGATTTGCATGAGCGAATAGATCAATAATGGCTATGATAAAAATGAATAGAAAAATACAATAGCAGGACGACATGGATCACTGGCTATGACTTGGGAGTAAGATGCCTACAAAAACACATCAGATCGGAGTTAACTGAAGGAAGCACTCACCTTGCCACTAAATTGGGACTAGGGGACACTGCAACATATCCTACTAACACAAAGTATAACCTTATCTGACAGCACATTATGGTGATCAATAAGTAATGAAACATAGCAAAATTGTCATTTATAGTAGAAACTTAGAACGAAAGGGAATAAATGCTTAGTACAAAAGTGCTGCAATTATAGAGTATTGATTACAAAGGGATGGAATGGGGAACGATGGGGGGCCTGCCAAACCGACGAAAGAATGTCTCCACATAAAAGGCAGTCGCAGCATGCATGACTTCCCAATACTTAAGGTAGAGGTCTTGTGGATTCGACCAATGTCATGTGACAAAGTGTTACATTGAGTGACAAATTACAAAACGGAGGTTAACTGTTCAACCAGGAAACGAGAACAAAATCTGTAATATCAGAGGGTAGACAATGCATTTATGCAGACATTGATATTTTCTGAATGAGCAGAAGTGGAGATATGAGTTAGTTAACTATGTTTCAATAAATTCACCCTCCTAGCGGAGGCTTAAAGTCTGTCAAGACTCCGCATGCAGAGGTGCCGTGATGCTGAGAGTGTCACCCGGTGCAGAGCTCATGGTTGAACATTGAAACATTGACCAGCCGCACGCACGAAAGCATTGTGGTGCAGGCCTTAAAGCATGGTGGGCATCCAAGGAAAAAAAATAAGTTCAGACACCTCAGAAAATGATAAAAATGTGAGCAGCTCAACTTCCAATGCTACAAAAATGGCTGTATCGGGTGAAGGAGCAATTCTCATCAGAAGATGCTCTCAAGCGCAATGTTATTGCATCACTCGACGCTGTTCCATTGGAGTCGATACGACGGTGAGTGACTTCAATCCCACTTGAAAGTTGAAATTCAGGGGTTGATAAATATTTTGATCTTTGACAACCAATCTTCAGCTTCGCCATGCGGTCCACAAGATTTATCGAAGCTTATCATAATGGCCTCAACGGCGCACAGGCTGCGTGGGCAATAAAAAAAATTTCATGGTCATCGTGTTCTCCCGCAATCAAAACAAATTAGTATTCCACTTTTCTGAAACTCATTTGTTATTATGCAACCTCTTAATCTACCTTAACTTCACCGTGCCAAAGTCATTACACTTCTACTGTACTTACTGTAGCTTGGCATACCATTGCCATACATTCGGCATGGCTTATGCATGCAGTGTCACACCATGTCACACACACGTGATGTTGGTCGAATCCACAAGTCCTCTACCTTAGTATCTGTGAAGTTACCTGGGGTCAGTGGGGCAACCAGAAGCGGCAGAGCGTCGTCCCAAGCACAGATGAGTTTGCGGAATTTCTCCAGGTAAGGCAGGACACCAATTAAGGTGTTATTCCACATGCTGTAGTTGTCCTCCGGAAATTGCTCTGACCACATGACCAAACCAGCCTCACCCGGGAAGATAGAATGAAGAAGCTGCTCGCGACCAATTAGATCATCTGCCCAATGTTTGTGGGCCAGGTAGTGATCAAGATCCCTCAGCTCATAATGGAATCCAAGCTCAAACAGCTCCCATGTGATCCTTTGGGCGAGACACCGTGGAGGGTTAGCGAGACTGGCAACCGACACTTGTTCGCCGTGAAATTCTACCGATCCTTCTGGTGCAAACAGATCTCCCTGAGTCTCCAACACGTCATCACCAAATAAGTCCCTCATTACGGCCTTTCGCTTCTCCGCCGCTGTAAGACCCTTCTTTTCAGGATCCTTGCCTTTGGGCGCTGCGCCAAGCAATTGGGTTGTAAGTCCGCTGCCGAGGAAGTCGCACCAGAGCTGTGGCGAAGGGTAGTTGCGTGGCGGGTCATGATCAACTCGGCTGATCCATAGCAGACGACAGGTGAGCCAGGCGGCAATATAACCCTGGAGATGCTCTGGCAGCTTGGGACTGAGGAGGAGAGCAGGTTCAGGGAATCTGTATCCCCGATCAATGGTGTAGGGCATGTGCACGCGAGATGAATCCTTGTTGCAAGTCTTGAGGGCATCATCCCAATGCAAAAGAGAGGGCGGAAGATATGGGCTCTCAGAGTCTTTCCACTTGTCCCTGGATTCCCCTGACTGGGAGGGCTGGGTAGGCCGAGCCTCTTTTACATCTGATACAGTAGTAAGTAACGTAAAGCAATTAGTAGGGGTTCACTTACAAGGTTGTTGCCTATACTTTTTATTAGTTTTTTGGGGTGCTCTTCCAGCAGCAGATGGTTGAGAGGATGGCGCAAGAGCAGAAGAATTGGGGATAGAGATACTGCTTGATGAAGTGAATGAAGGAACTGTGACGTCGGGATTTCTGAAAGTTGTGCCGCAGTACAGGCAACGGACGTGAAGTTGGTGCTGGTGGCCACCTTGGCCACAATGAATAATGTCGTAAGGGTGGATTCTATTGCCCTCTGCATACATCGAGATGATGATGTCATCCGGATGTGTGATTAATGCAGGTTTGATCACCTTCATTTTAGCGGGTATGTACGCCATTGTACAGACATACCAGACAGGGACACTGGCCATATGGAGCTTGTTGCACATGTCACTCTCGTGCATGAAAGCGCCCATCCATTCCGAATTGACGGTGACAGTCCCGACGCCAGAGGAGATGCAAGGTTGGGCAATGAGAACCAATCCATAAAGGAGTAAATTTCGAGGAAGAGGCGTTGGGCATCCATGACGAAGATGAGGAGATCGCGAAGGGTCAAGGGATGTTTTTTGAGCCGGGAGATACCATGTCAAAGAGAGATGACGCAATTGACAATGACATCCTTTTTACCTTGTTGATTGGCCCTCCAGTCCTGTACACGCTTGTCTACCAATTTCAGGAGCGACTCCAATCCTTCGACCTTGTCAGAGGCAAGCATGCCTACAGGAAATGAATTGCCTGGAATGATCTTGAAGTCCTTTTGCTTGGGGGTGAACCACGCCCAGTGAAGTGGGTGTGGGAACGGGTAGACCTCCTTACGAGGAATGCAGACAGAATTGCAAAAGACATTATCATAGGCTTGAGGCCATTGAAAGCAGTCAACGACACCGAAACGACCATCGGCACAGTGTCATGCATGGTATGCAACTCATACCATGACAGATACACAAGAGGTGTGATAAGGAAGGTATAATAGACCCTACTGTATCCTATCACCAAGTTACCCCATCATTTTCCCCTTAGTTATTAGCTAGTATTTTCACTTTCAAACTTCACTTCCATTTTTCCATGTATTTCTATTTTGTTCTATGACATTCCATCTCTTTCTATTTTTCCTCAGGCATATTCAGCCAACAGACTTTCTTTTCAGCCACCAAGCATGTTTGTAAGCATGTCATGTGACTGGTAGATATCATGATTTGTAAAGATTGAGCTTGACTCATCATGTTTTGTCATGATTTGTCATGCTTTGTAAGATTCCTAACTGTATTTATAAGCTACTTAGTAAGAAGGCTGATTCAGCACACCAAATGGCATTGTTAGTAAGCACGTCCTTACCAATCCATGTGATGACTCATGCCATGATTTGTCATGCTTTGTAAACTACACTGTATATATAATGTAAATTAGTAAACAGGTTGACTCAACACACCAAATGGCATTGTTAGTAAGCACATTCTTACCAATACATGTGATGATTCATGCTTTGTAATCAGGGCCTCCAAAAGGTATATAAGGAGCCCAATTTTGCCATGTAATAAATGGAGCACTTCCCACCTTCACTCATCTCAAACAGTGTGAGATTAAGTAAGAACCTAAGTACAGGCAAATCATTAGCCTCAAAGTAAGACTAAGAAACATTTACTCAATTATATACTACCTTACAGGGGTTGATTATATAATCTATCAGCTAATCTAACTAAGTTTAACCCATACTATTTTCCTCTCTCTTTTACAGGAAGGGAGACATGATTCACGCTACACGATTCATGCTACACGATACACGAGCACGCTAACTCTCAGACACAATTCATACCGTAGACTCAGTATACAGAATCAAATTGTTTTAAACTAACCAAGGAACAAGGAAAGAAGGTATATTGAAATAAATCCTCCCAAGAACTCACACATTATCTACCACGAAAACTAGAAAAGTCGTAGACCATGTACTTAAGGACTGGCAATAAGTCTTATCCTATATAGTTGTGTTGTCACTATATAAGCGGCGTACATAAGACCCTTAAGTAAGAGGACAGCGGGCTTGTATGTTTTCTTCTTCGAAATGGTGGAACTTAGGAACAAAGTCCATGTTGGGCGTGGTGATGACTAAGTTGCCCTGGATGGCGATGGCGAGGGCATTGAAAGATTGTAACCAAGCTGCAGTACGCATGCACGTAAGTAAGTTAGAACGCTAAAAGACAAATATCACATACATGCACAAAGTGTCGGATCACCCTTGAACACTGTCAGAGCATTGGGCATGATGGGAAACTGCAAAGTAGTTTAGGAGGTGTGCTGACAGGCACAAGGCAAACACACCTCAGGATTTGATATGGTATGGTTAGAGTCTAAGCGCTGGTCAGTATACAATGAGTGATATAATGAAAAGGACACTTACCAAAAAGGAAGACGTAGCTAAAGTAATGAATGCTATAATGGGTGAAGTACGAAGATGCATCAGGAGACTATTATAGATCAAAGATATCGATAACTCACCAATTAGACCGACAAGTGAAATATGAATAGATTGGCACACCTGAAATATCAGAGAAAGTCTGCAGTAGTGTGTAGCACACCAGGCATAGGCCTAAGTGCAAAGATACAGCATGCCCAAGAGGGTCTTCAATCCCACTGGCGCAGCAACATATGAGCAACTGGGGCGACCCTCCAGACGTGAAGTCTAGGAGTGGAAGATCAGCGATGCGAAGTCAACTGATCAATGAGTGAACTGGCATGAAGCCAATTCAAAAGAGCCAGGGACCATTGTTGTTGGATCTATCGCAGTGATGAGCTTCATGAGCTGAGCGATGAGAGTGATGAGGGATGCGTGAAAGTTGTGATCTGAGGGCAATGAAGGAACTTTAAAGGAACTATGGAAAGGGAATGCAGAGAAGGAAATAGACGAGAAACAAGATTGTGGGAACTTCCAAATTGAGTCAAAGTCCAGTTGAAGTTTGCAGAAGTTTGTGGACCTGTGGGAAAGTCCCACAATGCAACACATTCACAGTTTCACTCATTGATAGAACATTTCATCCACATCAATAACACTCCGTCCTTTATACTATCCTCGCCACCCTTGATTATATCCTTCCCACCCTCAATCAGCTCATCACCGCCCTCGATAGATCCAACAACAACATTCCCTGGCGCTTTTGAACTGGCTTTGTGCCATTCACTCATTGATCAGTTGACTTTGCATTGCTGATCTTCCACTCCTAGACTTCACGTCTGGAGGGTTGCCCTGGTTGCTCATATGTTGCTGCGCCAGTGGGATTGAAGACCCTCTTGGGCATGCTGTATCTTTGCACTTGGCTTATTTCTGGTGCGCTACACGCTACTGCAGACTTTCTCTGATATTTCAGGTGTGCCAATCTATTCATATTTCACTTGTCGGTCTAATTGGTGAGTTATCGATATCTTTGATCTATAATGTCTCCTGATGTACATCGTACTTTACCCACTGTAGCACTTGTTACTTTACGATACCAAGTCCAATCTCACAATGAATCTTATACATTTATCTACATCATCGGTGAGTCACATCTGCGCTTCATTCGCTTAGCAACATCCCATTCACACCTCAACGCAGGATATCGCTGTCTTCCAAACCACCCAGCTACTTGGTGATCCATTAAAGACTTCACTAATTGGTGAGTGTATTTACTTTATTCACTTGCGACAAGCGCATAGACGTGACAGTTTAGGATACTGCTATCTTCCAACTCATCCGATCAATGTCACAAGTACCTGCGTCATGGTAAGGCCTCTTCAAATCATCACATACATCTTACACTTTGGCCATGCTAATGTCTTGAGCAGCCACCTCACACATAATTGCTCAATTGTTGGCCAAGTTCAACTGTGTACATCACACTCTTGATCTTATATTGTAACGTCCTGACTTATTCTTAGGAAATTAGCAGCCTTCCCATCTCTTGACGTTCATCTGCTAGTGGCTGGTGCTCAGCCAGGTATATCTTACACGGTCCCGCATATACTTTTAGCATCTGAGTTATTCTTAAGCAATCGGCAGGCCTGGGTGTGTCTCTGACCATCATGATATGCTGACCTACCAGCAATCTGTCTTCAAGATTCTAATTAGGCAGTCTTCTCAAAATGTAAGTTCTCAAAGCAGTTAGATTTTAGTCAATCATTGTTTGACTGTCAGATCTGTCCCGCTCATTTTTATATTAGTCAGGGCTGCCCTCCCAGAGATTCTCTTCCATTGGCCGATCTTGCTGTCAGGGTTGTATATCAGTGGGCCTCGACCTCTACAGTCTTGCGATCTCATTCCAGACTAGCTTTCATCTATGCATTTGTAATGTAGCTTTGTATGTGCTCATACCTCTGATCTGTCTATCCACTGACTTTCCTTGACTGCCAGATACAGTTCTCATTAGCTCATCTCCCAGCCAGAGACTCGTTTCTAAGACTTGACTGATCAATTACAATTTTTCTTTTTCTACTCGCATCAAAGGATCCGGCACTATACGTAGCCACCACCTCCAATCCACCATTGAAGACCAGTGTGGCCAAGGTCACCCTATTGCAATCATGGTTTCATTCTTTAGTGCTAACCAGGTTTAGCTTCAGGGCTATACCCTAATACTAGTAGCGCTGATGGCAACAATGTCCGTAGTTCAAAGTATAAAGGTAACGAGTCTCTCAAGTCCGATTGCGTCAAATTCTACTTTCTCAATCCAATATTGTTTGCAGTTTACCATCTTATATTATTCATACGTTGTCTGACTTTGTGTCGACCAAATATTGTTGAGCAAACCTTGAGCTCTCAACTTGTATTCCACGTATCTCCGTGATCATAGGAAATGCATCCCGTTACTACCCACTCAGGTTGTCATCTTAGGCATCCACCTCTGCCTGATACATGCAAGGTATTATTTTTCTTTCCTTGACATCTTCAGCAGCTGACTCCTCTGTCATGTGGAGACTCGCAGCAAGGCAGCGGACATTCATACCAAGTCTGATGCAGACAACATTGAGGCAAGTCTTCTTGTTGCAAAGTTTGTCAATCATGGTTGATTTTTCATTACTTTAGTCCCCTGACCCTCCAAAACGCCACCGCACCCGCCATCACGCTAGCCCCAAGAGTGTTGTCGATGATCCAGAAGAGGTAAGCTATGTCTGCCAATATGCTGGTATCCACACTAACTTCTTAGTCTTTTGCAACTTGTCATCGTCCTCCACCCAAGCCTCGTCCGCTTGCATGGTCCAAATGTTCTGGCCCCATGACTTCATCTGCTGAGGAGGAGATTTTCGAGGCCAGTTTCTCAAGGCACTCATCAATGATCCAAAAGACTCCCAATGTCGCTACAGATCAACAATCCCGCCCATCTCATGTTCAACTTGCTGATGGCACTTCATTGACACATGCCGAATTCTGCCTCCTTGCAGATGAATAAGTACCTACTGACATCCAAGATGGCAATGTAGAATCAAGTAAGGCTTTGATTGTGGTGTGAATGTCCTGCATTGACTTGTTGCTTACCAGCTCCTGCATTGGTTGCTGAAGCAAACACCACCGCTGCGAGTGAGGATCCCAATACTACCACCCAAAGTCAGTCAAACAACCCCAATGGTGGGACTTCAGGTGAGACAAAGTCATTCTTTCGTACTTCATAGCTGAACTAATCGTGAATGTAGCTACCTCTACCGAGTCACACAATGCAGGGCATGGCAGCAATGATCATTGCAAGGATACTTCAAGTGAGCCATAGTCATTCTTCTGTATTTAATAGCTCAACTAATTGTGAATGTAGCTATCTGTGCTGAGTCACACAGCACAGAGCATGGCGGAAATGATGATGGCCAAAAAACTTCCAGTGCGTCATTAACATCTTTCTATTTCATAGCTTAACTTAACTAATATCAAATGCAGCTACTTCTGCCAATGGCTGCCCATGTAGGTCAGGTGGCATCAAGTCATATGCACCTGATCGGAGCAACAGTGGAGAGAGCTCCCCATCTGACAGTGACTGGGCTGCCGGTCAAGAGCAGCTGAAGAAAGCATGGCAAGCTGCTGCCAATGCCGGTGTGAATGATGGTGACAATGATGAGGGCTCCCCTGCAACTGACCCTCCATCTCCACCACGGTTGACTTCCACGCAAAAGCAAAAGTCCAAGGTGATGGCGGAGGTCAATGAACATAACGGCAGCAAAGACGATGACGATGAGGATTTTGTGAAGACCAAAGGAAGATTACCTCAAGCAGGTATCTTGAAGGCACAGGAGCTTGGGAAGAATACATTGGAAGCCGCCAGAGCACTCGGCAAAGAATATGGGAAGAGTGTGAGGACAATCCTAATCGAGGCTGGGTTGACGATGAAGGCCACCCACCAGGAGTCTCCATGGAACCAACATCAGACGTGGTATGTGGCTGCCTGCCCCCCCACCCACCTAAAGGAGCATCAGGAGCTGTGTCGCCAGGTGTGTTGTCATCCTTGTTATTGTTCTAGTTGGTCCTAATGACTTTTGCAGTGGATTTAAAGGCTTGGAAGGTGAAGCAACAAGCTCATTACAAGGCCCACCCACACAGTGACCCTGAGCATGCATCAGTGTAGAAGGAGATCCAGGAGAACTAGGATCGTGCCGTCGTGGGTTCAACTGAGGACCTTACATCAAGATCTGCTGCAGGTCTTATGATGGCTGTTTGTGATGCCTTCACAAAATCGGTAAGTGTTGTATTCATGCGACCTTAATCCAAAGACTAACTACGATCAAGGCTGCGTACTGGCACCGCACCCCATGGCATTCACATTGCCGGTTGTCGCAATATTCCCTGGTGACGAAGAGGCAGGCTGCCAGGCATCAGGACTGTTCGCTGGCTCTGACATGGTCAAAGCCCTCATCAACTCACATCAACTGGATATTAAGCATTGGTTAGATGAGCTCACCACAATCCTTAAGTGCGCTGTAGAGACTCGATCCTGGGTAGCCTCACAATGGCACATATTGCAACATAGGTCGAGTCTACAGTATCATGCATGTAACACGACACTTGCGCGATAAACGCGATGTTCGCGTGACGCGCGCGACTTTAGGCGACACTTCCGCGACATAGGCGACACTTGCGCGACTTCCGCGCGCTTTAGGCGAATTTTCCCGCGCCTAAGCGCTATAGGGCGCCTGACTTCCCACTGTGTTTCCCATGTCCAACCAAGTTCCCAGGTATGCATTTCTCCATTTATCATTTATTTCAACATCGTACCATGTTTATTTTCGCTTGGTACACATTTTTCATTACACATTTTTTTTACTTTACACAACACACATTACCACGGACCACCATCATCATAGACAGTCACCATCTCCGAGTTTTTATTATGTTTTGAATAAATCATCACAAGCCCTAGTAGCAGTTAGCTCTAGTGGCCATATCCGCATCAGTTGTCTTATCAGCATCTCAGTACACGTCTTAACATCTCACTATCGCTCGCATACCGCTTTCACCCAGTTCCGCTTTTCGACGCGCGACTTTCCCCGCGCTTCGCGCGCCTATAGCGCCTTTGTTCCCGCGCTTTCGCCTTATCACACGCTTTGCGCATTCCCCTAGAGTTGACCAGTGGATATTTGCTTTCTTCGCTTCCCCTAAGGGACGAACATATCGCACTCATATTTTCCTCCCTTCAACAATTATATCAGCTGCAACCATCAGCTGAGTTGAAGATCCTTCAGCGCCTTTTGTTAATTATAGGGGTCGGTACTAAATCACTTCCAGGTACAAAGACTTGGAGGCCACACATGCTGAAGGCAAACACTTTCAGTTTGCTCCCCCCTTCTTCCACCACTCCAAATGGTACCCTTTTGTGCAACGGCAAGCCTGCCAGGGATAGGAACAGAAAGGTGGCGCCCATGATAACAGTGAGAAATTTGGTAGGTTTTTTTTTTGTTGCAGTATCCTTCTAATCTACTGACCAAATGTTGGGTAGCTGAGGCCGGTCACCTGCTTAAAACCTTGAACAGCAGGTGGTTGACCATGTTGGACATCTTGTATGCCGAGAAGCTTTGCATCCATGACTGGCCCGCCGGTGTTCCCCCGCCCGGCCCCGATTTTGATCTAAAGGCTTTATCTGCAAGTCAACTATGTGTGATGGTGGCTCCATATCTCAGGATTCATCTTGGAGCAATGTATGAGGCCAAGTTAGGTCTTGATGATGATGATGACGACAGCAAGGCGGAGGCAGCGAAGGCGAAGGCGAAGAAGCACAAAGGCAAGCCCAAGAAGTCAGGTGACAAGGGAAGGAAGAAGGGGCCGACAGTACAGGAGCCAAGTGTTGTATTGCATATCAGTGGATGGCCTGAAAGTATGTTTTTGCTACTGTAAATCATACATGAGCTGATATAACAACCACAGGTGATATTATTGCTCTTGAGACACAGGCCACAAACATGTGCCTCATCCCACTTGTCTTCAACACTGACGGCAGGGTCGTTCACTCCCTCCAAGACTCAGAGAAGTTCGTCAAGGACCTTCCACAAGACAACACTGTTAGACACCACACCAATCAGGTAACCAAAAAACCTCCAATGTCTAATCCAGCAGCTTCGCGCTCAACTGTGAGGGCTTCGTGCTCAACTATAGGAGCTTTGCGCTCCAATCAGGAAGCTTTGTGCTTCAGCCAGACAGCCTTGCGCTTCAGCCAGACAACTTCGCACTTCAACCATGAAGCTCTGAGCTCAAACCTTGAAGCTTCGCGCTCTCATCACCATACTAACTGAGCTATCTATGAAAATTACCCACCTTCGTCGCCACCCCAGGAAGCCCCACACTTGTGTCATCCTACTGACCGAGTCTTTGAGGAGCTCCCGCCTTCATCACCACCAACACCATCTTCGCAGTTCTCGTCTCCCCCTCCTATTTCACGCCAATCAAGTCCTGTGCCACCCTTGGATTATTCGCACATCCAGGACACGACATATTCCTCCTGCTCTCGATACAAGTGTTCACACGAAGAAGCACTTCGATATCAGCATCCATATGACGATGTTATGCCAACCTATAATCCAGATACTCGCAAACGGACTCGACCTCGTTATGAATCTGCTTGGGAGACTGAAGACTTGGAGCGTGAAATGGTAGAGGAGAGGCACCATGCCAGGGTGCATGACAAGTGTGTTGCTATACTCTGACTTTTAAGTGCATTTGCTAAATGTCAGACTATTGTATTAGTTCCCGTATACTGTCAGGCCAAGCCCAATCGCAGGCACATGTAAATTCAGTACAAATGGCTAGCACCTCTTGTTCTCGGTTGCCATTGTGTTCCTCTGTTGTGCCGACCTCCCATACTGGTTCCTCGCAGCGCCGCCATTATTCAACTGTCAGATCTCCGCATATCTGCCCAGCATCTCCCGATCGCCATCCAATCGTCGAGGAAGATGAGTCTTACTAACTTTGTAGCCCTTGTTCCTGCCCACTTTCAGTAACATCTACTAATTGTGCTCATCCCTTGCTTATGTTTTTGTATGTTTTTCTTATGCTTTTCTTATACTTTTCTTATGCTTTTCACATGTTTGTCTCGTCACTTATGCTTCGAGTTACTCATGATACATGTAGGCCTTATGCTCATTTCATTTCCTTGGACCTTACATTAGAATTTTGTCTTTGCTTAACAATTGATTGACATTGGGTGAGAACTCAATAATTTTGATAGATTTTCAAAATTACCGAGTTCTTGCACAATCTTACCGTGATTTATTTCTGACGTTTACCTAGTCTCTCGTCAAGCAAAGCATATCACATCCCATCTATTTCTCATGTACGTCTTGTCATTGCCGCCATTTATCTTTGCTTGTCATATCCATCTACCTTTACTTTAGACAACCATATCCATTTCACCCCGTCTATTTCTCGTGTACATGTGCTCATTGCCATCATTGATCTTTGCTTGCCATCCGTCCACCTTTGCTTTAGACAGCCATATCCTTTTACTTTGCTGAGAATCTACATAACTTCGCTAACTCTACAATCACCATCATCTCCTGTCTACACCAGCTATACAAAATGATTGAAGACATAACATATTTGGTTCATAAAACCTGTTCTACTCTCTCATTGTGAACTTGGTTTGACGTCTTTCGCTACAGGGAATGTTGAAGCCTGAAGACAAATCAGTCTGGAGTATGGACGTCGATTCGGACATCATAACCATTCATGTACCTATCCTACTCTGCCATATACTAATGTAGTATTGTTCGCTCCAGGAGATACCATCAGTCTGGAGTATGGACGTTGATTTGGACGTCATAATGGTTCATGTACCTATCCTACTCTTTGCCATATACTAATGTAATATTGTTCGCTACAGGAGATACCATCAGTCTGGAGTATGGTCGTCGATTCGGACGTTGTAAGTGCAGTTTCCTATCCTACTCTTTACTACTAATGTAACATCATTTACTACAGGAGACACCACTAAAGCCAGAGGAGGGATCAGACGGATGCATGAATGTTGATGGAGATGTCATAATGGTATCCCCTACCTCTACTCTTCTGATTTAGTTTAATATTGCTACAGGAAATACTTAAGCCGGAGGACGAATAGGAGGGGTGTATGGACGTCGATGTGGACATCATCACAGGTTAGCGCGTCTCACTCTATTCCACTGCCTGCAATTTACTACTATTTTAATTTTTGGCAGGAAAACATGCTTATTGAACAGATGGTGTAAAGTGTCATTGACGAATACATCCAGAAGATGAACGGTGAGTCTTACATATATTAACCGAAGTCTAAGTGCACAATAGTGTCCTGTATTCTACTCGGTTTCATACTCTATATATTTGTCTTGACATCTATATGGATATCACACACCCCACTCTTACATTTGCCCAGTTAGTCTTCGCTGCAGATATTACACCCCACTCATGACTTTAATTTTGTTGCCTCATGCTCATCAATACTTCCATACAACCAATGGTATTCAACCCCATCGATTTTGACTCTGTGTTGTGTTGAGAAAACATTATAGTAAGTACTAGCAAAATCAGAAAGTTCTCAACAATTCTAACAATTCTATATACATATACAGTATATAATCTTATCATGACTTTGGACCGCAGTGTCCACCCGCGTGCGTCTCACGTGCCAAAGCACGTACTTCAAGCCCACCACTCCACTATGCCTGCTGGAGGCCGATTACTATATTTTACTTTTGGAATAGCTTTTCTCCATCTTGCTCCAGCTCTAACAACATACTGCCACGGCACTGCATATAACATAGGCCGGTTGATTATTAATCAAAGCTTTGATGCTCTTACATAGTGTTAGTTAGCTTACGTAGTCAACATACTGCCACGCCGCTGCATATAACATCCCCTACTCCCATGTTAGTGGAGGCCAGTTGATTATATTAATCAAAGCTTTGATGCCCTTACATAGTGTTATTAGTGGGAGTCAGACTTAGTGGTTCATACCTTGATCCTGACTCTGATTTTTGAGTTGGGTCTTCAACCTGAATCAACTATAATTATTTGAATGCCCCTGAGTCTTATCCATCACACTTGATATGTGATATATAGATAAGTATGTTCACTTGGTCAATTACTACATGCTCCGTCCAAAATTCTACTCTGTATCAACTGACAGACTGTGCATCTTCCAAAATTCAGGTGTATATCAACCCTCAGAGATCCAGCCTATTCCGCCACCGTGCTTCTTCCAAAATTCTTGTCCATGTCAACTGATTATTTCCATCACTGTACTCCTTCCAAAATTCAGGTGTATATCAACCCTCAGAGATCCAGCCTATTCCGCCACCGTGCTTCTTCCAAAATTCTTGTCCATGTCAACTGATTATTTCCATCACTGTACTCCTTCCAAAATTCAGGTGTATATCAACCCTCAGAGATCCAGCCTATTCCGCCACCGTGCTTCTTCCAAAATTCTTGTCCATGTCAACTGGTTGTTTCCATCACCGCACTCCTTCCAAAATTCAGGTGTATATTAACCCTCAGAGATCTAGCCCATTCCATCACTGTGCTTCTTCCAAAATTCTTGTCCATGTCAACCCCACAAAATCCTTTCCCATCCACTGGTCCTCCCATATCTGATTATGGTCTTTTCCCATCCACCATGGTCCTTCCCGTATCTGATTATAGTGCTTTCCTGTCCACCATGGTCCTTCCCATATCTGATTATGGTCCATTCCCATCAACTGTGGTCCTTCCCACATGTGATTATGGGCCATTCTCATCCGCCATGGTCCTTCCCGGATCTGATTATGGTCCATTCCCATCAACTGTGGTCCTTCCCACATGTGATTTTGGGCCATTCCCATCCACCATGGTCCTTCCTGAATCTGATTATGGGCCTTTCCTATCAATTGTGGTCCTTCCCATATCTGATTTTGGTCTTTTCCCATCGACTGTGGTCCTTCCCGTATCTGATTATAGTGCTTTCCTGTCCACCGTGGTCCTTCCCATATCTGATTATGGTCTTTTCCAATCGACCGTTGTCCTTCCCACATGTGATTATGGGTCATTCCCATCCACCATGGTCCTTCCCGGATCTGATTATGGTCTTTTCCCATCCACTGGTCCTTCCCATATCTGATTTTGGTCTTTTCCCATAGACCATGGTCCTTCCCGTATCTGATTATAGTGCTTTCCTGTCCACCGTGGTCCTTCCCATATCTGATTATGGTCTTTTCCCATCGACCATGGTCCTTCCCACATGTGATTATGGGCAATTCTCATCCACCATGGTCCTTCCCATATCTGATTATGGTCTTTTCCCATCCACCGTGGACCTTCCCATATCTGATTATGGTCCTTTCCCATCAACCGTGGTCCTTCCCGTATCTGATTATGGGCCTTTCCCATCCACTGTGGTCCTTCCAGTATTTGATTATGGGTCTTTCCCATCCACTGTGGCCTTTCCCATATTTGATTATGGGCCTTTCCCATCCACCGTGGTCCTTCCCATATCCGATTATGGGCCTTTCCTATGCACTGTGTCCTTCCCCTGTCTGACTATGGGCTTTCCCATGCAGTGCGGTCCTCCTGTGTCTGTCAACCCTAATAAATTTGGTCCTTTCCATCACCATTCTCCTTCCAACATTATTGTGTGTGTCAACCATGGAGATCTGGCCCCTTCCACCACCGTGCTTCTTTCAAACATTTTGTCCATGTCAACCCTAATCTGAAATCTGGCTCTTTCCATAATTACGCTCCTTCTAATGTTATGTTCTTTGCCATTCTACCACCATACTACCTTAAGACATGGAAGAAACTGATGATGATGTGCTACTAGATGACCAGGAGACTACTTCATCTTTGATGTGCTTGCATTACTCTGTTATTGTGTGCTGCTCTTGTGCAATGCTACAACAAAATCATCAAATTCAACCTCTGGAATTCACCCCTTTCATGTGTGTAAAGTGCACATGAACTTTGAGCAGGCCCAACCCGATCAAGAATCTACCTTGGTCTACTCCCTCATGTACCCAGCATCCTCAAATTCATCCATCAATGTTTGGCCAATGATGGAAGATATGGCCTCATTGGTGGTCTCGCAGACTGTTTCCCCAATGGCTAGATCAAAGAACAGATCGCCTATGAATTCTGCAGTAATCACGGTATGCAGGTAAGTGTTCTCTCTCATCTTCTCGACAAATGCTGATGATCAAACCAGATGATCAAACACTTTTTCATCATCCATCAATTCAATTGACATCTGAAGGAGGTACATGGATATTTTTGTTTTTTTTTGGCATCTGCATGCTGTCCATAGTCAACCTCAAGTTCAAGATTGTCATCATTCTGGATCCAGCTTAGGGATCTGCGTGTAGGGATTAGCATGAGTAAACATACAGGTGTACAGAGCCCTACCCACACCCATACACACCATATACCCATACCTGTGTATCAAAGGGTACCAACAGGTATTGGCAGGTTGCGCGGGTATGGTAGTAAACATGTGGGTATAGATTCAAACTATACTAGGAAACATTTAGTCACTACAGATCAATAATAGTAACTAAATCTTCATCATTGCCTCAGTAGTCAAAGTGGGTGGAGAGTTGAACTGCAAGGTTATTTAATGACATGGACTGATCTGTGTGACTGACCAGGTGCAAGGCCAGTGCTTCCATGAGAAGGGCGATAGCCTGATCCAAGCCTTCACCATTGCCTTGGTGGTGAGCAGCAGATGACCATATGTGGAAGTGACAGGTACACAGGTCATGGGTCTCAAAATCCTGACCCGCACCCGTACCCACCAGTACTCTTACCCATGACCCGTGCTAATGCCTATCTGCATGTTGTCACAGAATTGGAGTGCAAGCAGCTTTGGCATCGAATCAGTGCATGGGTGATGACAAGTGCAACTGTGAATGCTATCATGGCATAAAGACATCATTGATGACTTGGACAAGGGGTGTGAGTAGAGTGTGCAAGTGCTGCTGATCAACTAGGAGGATACAGTTCAAGTGCATTTACTTGGGTCAAACAAGTGTGAACATATAACTGGTAAGTGTACATACATACTTGATAAAAATGCACCTAAAGTGAGCTGCATAATGAGCAGTATTAGTAGGCAACAAAGGTTTCTGGGCATGTTGCAGCATGATTATATTGGCCTTTAGAGTGTGACAGTTTGCAGCTATACATTGGTAACATGGCACATAAAACCCATGCAGCATCCTGGTTCAGCTGGCATAGATGTGAGGTAAATGAGTGAAGATTTTCAGGGGAGAGGGATCCTGGGCTGGGGGTGGGGTGAATGAATGATCATTTTTCAGTTTTCTGACCCTATTTTGGAAAAATATCTCATAGGCATTGTAGTCATTATGGGACACATTGGCTTGGCTTGGCTTGGGGACCAAGAAAAAACCTACAATTTTCTTTTTTTTTGGGCAAAATTTTTGGTCATAATAGGACCCCTAACACCCCTACACCATGGGAAATTCCCATGTATGTGTGGTCCAATGTTGGCTGGCGGTCTTTCCCATACAAAAATTATTTTGATCCGTGGACCATGCCCAACACATTTCATCTTGGACCCTATGCACTTGGGAAAAGACCAGAAAACATTGGCCAGACCACCTGGAAAGCACCCCCTAGGTGAAAACCCTTATAGGTATAATACAACCTAAGAGGTACCTGAAATGAGGTGACCAAACTGCATCATGCTGCTTTATAGTACAAACCTGATAGTGGTGGAGCTGATCATGTTTGATGTCAAGGTAGGGGTTATGTAAAGATATCCGTTGGACGTGTATGGACTGTTTGATGAGGATGTTGTCATCTCAAACTTGCCGTTCCTGGAAGAAATGCCAGTTACTCAATTCATCCCAAGTAGAAATTCACTGACCCAAATCCACCTAGCTGCACTTCATAGAACCTCATACAAAAGAAATGTGAGTGACACATGTTGACCCCTTTCTACCTCTACCTTTTGGCCTCGGTTGTGAGTCCAGCAGAGCAGCATATTGGGGATCACGAGTTTTCTGTGGAATCATGAGTAGAACAAGATGTGGCTGAAGTGGGATAACGTGCCTTGATATTGACAAAGTGCTTGAAAAGATTGGTCTGACTGAGAATCAAAGAATCACACGCGGCAGTTCAATTTCAGACTGTGTTGCAGGGTCAGTGATACTGTGCAAGGTTTTGAGTGCGACCTTACAGAGAGGTGTCAGTTGTCGAGTTACATAACATCATCAAGGAATGGCTTACTTTCTCTCCTAACAACTCAACTGATTCTCATGACATCAAGGGCATCCTGACTGCCAGTGTTGTGCCATTGGACAGCATCCCAAACCTGCTGTGGGGATATAGTCAGGTGCTAGCCTTTCCTCGGAGCAGTGCGATGATGATCGAGCTGTAGTCATACAGATGCTGTGAGTCTAGAGTCTAAGGAATTTACTTGTAATGAAAATGTCAGTGTTGTGGGGAAGGAGCTTGGTGAAAACACCACCCATAGTCTCAAGAGTCAAGAGCATGTCCTAAACCTCCTTGCTGGAGGGTTGAAATCAGAGGCGCACACTGTGCGGCTGTTGAGAAATAAATAAAGCATTGAGATCAAAATCAGCACAACAAAGAGCAAGATAGCGTGAACAAAAGGCGAGAGGTGAAACAGCAGATGGCAGATGAAAAGTCAGTTAAGAAGTAAGTGTCACTTGTCGTAAATGATAGCAGTGTCCTCAATATCGTCACACTCCTCCTCAGCAATGGCTCTGAGATGAGCATCATTTGTGCTGGCAGTGGCTGTCAACTGCTCATTAGAGCCTCAGTCATGTACCACCCCATGTTCCATGTTCCATTGAGAGGCTGCCCAACCTTTCATAAAGTTAAGCTGTTCTTTCTTCAGGAAAAACTTAACCATCTGTAATGCTTCCATCAAAATGGGGCTGAGGTGATTCCTTTTTTCATATGGGTTTCACTACTTGATGAAAATACCCATTCACATGGCACTGCAGAGGCTTGTACTGGGGCATAGTCCATAGCAATTGAGTATATAGTTGGGAACATGGACTGTGAAGCCTAGTCAACAGCTTGTGGTTAATGACAAAGGGGTGTGACTTGAAGGGGCAACGGACTCAGATTCCAAAATGCAAGTATATCTGTTCCAGGAGGACTAAATGTAGCCGTGGCATATGTTGTGAATTCCTGATCTACCATTTGACCACCATCATGGTGATGCAGCACATGTGCATGCGCCCCAGGAATTCCATAGTGACGTGAGCCTAGTGTGTGTGGCACTGTTCGTGGAACCACTACAGGTTGAGAATGCATAGAATTAGAGTTTTCCGCTCTCTTGCTCTGCATCTGCAGAACAAATCAATCCAATGTCGTGCTTTTATTTACTACACAGACATACCAGCTTCAATATAAACTCCTTTGCATCATCAATATGGTCCTGCTTCCATTGATCGTCCATCCAAGACATCCACGTTGTAGGATCAATACCACAAAAGTAATCATGAAATCAATATTTCTTAAAACAAAAGATGGGGCTGACACATAGCAACAGAATAAGCATGTGTCACACCCATCCGGTCAGTGTATTTGCTTGCCCAGGTTAAGCCTATGTCAACGACAGGCTTACAGTGAGGTACATGCAGGCCAATAGACTCCCAGCCATCAACCAACTCTTCAAAAGTTGGAATGGTATGGCTCAGCATGGGAGTGCTTTCACTGGAGAATTTTTGCTGGGCAGCGTGGGGTGCCTGGTATGACATGGTAAATTGGATCACAGGCTTCAAGCGCATTAGTACTTACCTCCAAGATCACTTCCAGGTCCTGGAGGAACCACCAATCCATCTCACTCAATCTTTTCTCGGATATGGCACATTAAGCCCAAGCATCAAAACATGCGGTTACCACCTGGGCCAGTATTAGTCTATGACATATGTTTAATGGTGTGGAATCTTACCTGGCACAGTGTCCACAAATGGTTGATCATAACATAGACTGAATCCCATCTAGTAGGCTCATCGAGGAGGAGTTCTACAACTGGGAGCTGTGTAGGGTCATCATTGTCATCCTGAACCACCCCTCCTCATTACCCCTAAGGATGGTCTCATGAAACCTGTCACACTGCTGGTTTGATGCGTGGATCAATCGCATGATATGCCTGGCTCGCTTGAGAGGCTTAGCTTGCACAGCCTGGACATAATCGACTTTCTTGATGATCTGATCTTTGACTGTCCATGTATCGTCCACAGTGGAATAGTCAGCAGTAGCGTATTCATCGATTATATGCTTCACGCATATGTTTATCACATGTGGGAAACATGGTATCCTGTGCTCAATAGGATCAAAATCAATCCCGCATTGCCCAAGTAGGGTGGAAAGCTCCTGCATTGTGGTATAATTGTTGCCCACATTGTTGAGAGTAAAATGCCCAGTCTGAACAATGTCAGAGCATGCAACACAATAGAGATAAGTACCGACCTTGGCCACAGTGTCTGCACGATCAAGGAGATATAGGATCATAGAACCAAGAGATTGCCCATCATGATTGCTGGGAACATGGTGGAAAGCAATGAGGGCCATCTTTAACATGAGCATCAAATCTCGATTGGCCCGGCAATCCAATGGGCCGTAATGGCCATGAATGGCCAGAGCTTTTTATCTGACCACAGGTCAGATGTAAAGTAGACTTTCCCCTGCGCATTCTAAAAGGAATAAGGTACTTCATATGAGGCTTGGCAACTATGCACTTACAGCAAGATCTTGCTTCAAGGCCAGGAAGTATTCCTGCCATTGCTCAATGACCATTTCATGAGCCTTCATGCAGTGAAATAGGCCAGACTCACCAATTTCTGGGCAGAGGAGACGTATGAGGCGGGGCAATTATTAATGGTGGCTATAGGCATGAACTGCGACCCACTTGATCATCAGTGACAATAAACTTCACAATTTGACAATGCATTCCATTAATTGTAAAGTCTGGAATTCTGTTTTCTGGGGAGCTCATTCCTATGAGCAAGGCACCAGATCCCTGGCTAGGGGGAGGACCAAGTGATTGCATTGTGCAAGGCAATTTCTTGAGCCATTCGCAAATTGTCGTCAGTGACCACCCTTCAGCAAGGCATTCATTTAGATCCTTTATCTGTATGCGCCAGCCAAAACGCTCTGCTGCTTCCAGATAAAGTTCAATGTGGTGAGTGAAAGCATGTGTACGGGGAGCTGAACTGGATGTTGAGCCTGCATATACCATGACCTTGTGCATTGTGTCGATTTTGTGAAGTGTTCTGATGAAGGGCATGAGAAACAACAAAAGATTGCAGATGTGATATTTACTCACAAGGGATGCAAGTTTTGCTCTTAGTATTGGTATCAATCCGGTAGAAGTGACTTATATCAGTTGGTTTTTTAGTCTGCTTGAGGTTGCCGGTGGCCAAAGGATCAGTCTGAACGGTGCTGGTGACAGTCTGGAGTGGGCTTGGATTAGAGCCTGCAGGTGCCACAGTGGTGAGTGCAAGAAGATTGCCCGGTTCCTCTTCATCCCTTAAAATATTGTTGAGGTCAAAGACTTCACCCTCGTCTGGACCAGCATGAGCTGCATCGGTGGTTCTGTATCTAACAGAAAGTTGTCGCCGATAGGGGTGTTGAAGAGTGGTAGTGTTTGCTGCTGCTGCAGCAGGAATAGCAGCGGGGGATAGCAGCATGGATGGCAGTGTGGATGGCAGCATGGATGGCAGTGGGGATAGCAGCATCAACAGCAGGAAAGGTAGCTGCCCGGGCCTTGTTCTGCCCACATCAACGACCTGGCATTTGTGATAGTGGTGATATTTGAATGGCAGAACCATCTGTCTATATAGGTGTGTTCTTTCCGGGAAACCCCAGAAAATGACAATGTGCGTGAGAAGTCATATAGGCCAAAGCCAATGCGGGAATTGAGTTGTAAGCACATATTGCAGGTAATAAAATAGTGGAATGGGGCAGGGCATCGATGAAAGGTCACCCATGCAGCATGTGAGAGCCTGTATGGTGGTTGTTAAGACCGTACTCAAGTAGTATCGGATCCGAAGGGCTTCGGCCTCAGCTCGTGCGCTGTGCCCCTTTCCCGAGTCTTGCCCCTTATTTCAGAGAGCTGAAGTATCGCGTCTAGTGGGACGGATAAGTATTGTAATGGATAAGTCTTGTATCGCAACGGATCCGTTAAGACTTCCGGATATCGAACGTATAGAGTAACGGCTAATCCGGATCGGATCCAGACTAGAAACTAACGGGTGAGGACTGTCCGAATGACAGAGGCGGATATGTAGACTATAGGAATCTATCCTAAGTCTCGGAGTAGACAAGAGTAGCGTACTCAAGTCCGGACGGATAACAGGGGGACTTAGAGTCCAGACGGAATGAGTGCAATCTAAGATGATATTCAAACTGATCTACTACAGCGCATATACAAAGGTTTATATACTACGGATAGCTAACGGAATGATCAATAAGCAAAGGTGCGAGGCTATGAACGAAAGTATAAGCAAAGTCTAAGTGGAGCGTATTGGTAAGTTGGATGGATCACGAATCATGAACCGGGAATGAAGTACAAGTAAAAGCGGATTCGTAAGTGTAGCGGATCAGTAAGCAAAGCAGAAGTAAAGGATAACCGGTATACCGGTGTACAGGAATACCGAAAGGAGATGAACGATAGTTAGAGTTATATGAACAGGAAATGAAATAAGAATCAAAGCGGATCTGTGGACCAGACGACGGATATGTTCATCGGATCTGGATCGGATCTGAGATCCGGATCATCGGATCTGTAACCGGATATATGGTATATGACAGTGGTGATATGAATTTTCTGATATATGAGAAGCGAACAGTAAAAGTGCAATGCACAAGTTTGGCGCCTGTCGGATGACTGACCAATGACAGGGTGTGGGCATAATTGGTCTTCTTGGTCTGTTTTCCATCAATGAATGCTCGCAAATCACTATAATTTGGTGGAGGTGAGAGTGGGGGGAATTTTGCTCAATGAAGGACATACCTGAAGTGAATTGGCTCCATGTGGCTTTCTAGATCACCATCAGATAGATAGCTTGATAAACAAACAGCTTACCTTCATCTTCAGGGTTTCAATTGCAAAGCCAGATCACAAGACAGTTCCACCAAAAGGTTAGCAATACATATATTGGAAAAAGTCCTCCATGTGGCCTCGCATGTAGGTGCAGATGTGACTACCACTCCTAAATTTTAATCACCGCAGAATACAGTTTTACGATCAATACAATCTACTGATCAGAATTGGTTGGATGAATCAACTTACCCTCGCACAAGAAGTTGAATTGTGATAGTCGCCTGATGTGGCAGCCTGTGTGAAAGTGGTTCAAAACTTTGGTGGTGAATAATTGTGAGTGCTAATGAGACCCTCACCTTGGTGATCAAGCATCAATCATGTTTAATCAGCACAAGCAAACACGATGGCAAAATATGTGGAATTCTAAGTGATGATGGTATGGTGCAAAGATTGACGGCTGTGCACTGTACAGCACGTTGAAGGGAAAATAGCCTGACCTAGACCGATTAGTAATTACTAATCACCACGCTGAAAGCAATGCACAATTACACATGATGCATTTGAGCTATTCATAACATATACAATGTATGTACTATGTACTACAGTGGCTCAAAAAAGTGTCCCAATGTTTGTGCATTTCATGTAATTGCTTCATAGTGAGTCAGGGTGTGGGAATATGACTAAGCTATAGGGAGGTGTCAAAATGCTCTGCTTCCCAGCATCATTTTAGTTCCCTATAGTGTGGGAATCAGATGTTATCGTGTGAAGATACAGACATTTTAATTAGGTGATACATTGGGACACTTTTTGAGTTGGATTTTATTATATACAATCTCTATAATTCTAGTACTTAGTGTTTCCCTCCCTTGGCTTTAATGACTGCTGCTACCCTCCTATGCATACTTTCTATCAATCTCTGGCATTCCTCCTTAGCAATCTTCTCCCACTCTTCTACAACTCTCTCCCATAGCTGAAATAGTCCATTTGGGAGGTCTTGGTAGGCAGAAAGCATTCTCTTGAGTAATTCCCAAAGATGTTCAATGGGGTTGAGGTCTGGAGACTGTGCTGGCCATGATAGGACAGTGATATCATGCTCCTCAAACCATTTGATTGCCAACTTTGAGGTATGCTTGGGGTCATTGTCTTGTTGAAAGATAATGTCTTCTTCATCAATACCAGATTCTTGCATGCTTTCGAGCAGACACTCCTCCAGAATGGACACATACTGCTCTGCATTCATCCTTCCCTCCACCTCACACAAAATTCCCACCCCATGCCACCCCATGCAACCACATACCATCATATTTCCTCCTCCAAACTTGAGAGTACCTTTTACTTCATTTTCTCTAAGTGGATCTCCTGCCTTTTTCCACACATACTCTTGACCATCTGACCCATCCTATTGATTTGGTCTCATCTGACCATATAACCCTCTTCCAGTCCTCTATAGTCTAGTGCTGGTACTTCAGAGCAAATGCTAGTCTCTTCTTCCTATGGGTTGGTGACAGCAGGGGTTTCTTCTTCTTGACTACAGCTTTAAGATTGGCTTTCTTAAGAGTGTTCCTGACTGTTTGGGTGGAGACAGTGGTAAGGGATGATGGAATTGATGTATTTTGTGGCTTGAACAGTAGTAGAGGCCTTTCCAGATATGATATAATGAACCAGAGCTCTTTTGTCATGCAAAGTAAGCTTAGAAGGACAACCCATTTTGATGTTTTCTTTATTGGGAGCATTCTGGTTGATGACCCTAGCAATATTTGACTTCCCAAGACCAGTTTTAGAAGCAATCTGCCTGATAGATAGACCAGAGGTAGAGAGAACAAGGATATTATCTCTTGGAAGGAGGAAATAGACTTCATGGTGATTATGAGAAGCATAGTGTTATTGTAGGGGTTTATATATGTCAAGGATATTAGAATCAGACCATATTTCTAATATAAAACTATTTTTACATATATTTATAAATGGTGTCATGTCTGAATGGCCTGATTGTTATATTTTAATAGCAACTCAAAAAAGTGTCCCAATGCATCACCTAATTTAAATGTCCATATCTTCACACGATAATGTCAGGTTCTCACACTATAGGAAACTACAATGACACCAGGAAGCAGGGCTTTCTGACACCTCCCTATAGCTTAGTCATATTCCCACACCCTGACTCACTATGAAGCAATTACATGAAAATGCACAAACATTGGGACACTTTTTTGAGCCACTGTAAGTATTGTAACAGATCCGTTAAGGCTTCCGGATATCGGACATATATAGTAACGGCTAATCTGGATCGGATCCAAACTAGAAACTAACAGATGAGGACTGTCCGAAGACAGAGGCGGAGATACAGACTATAGGAACCAATCCTAAGTCTTGGAGTAGACAAGAGTATCGTACTCAAGTCTGGACAGATAACGGAGGGACTTAGAGTCCAGACAGAATGAGTGCAATATAAGATGATATTCGAACTGATCTACTACAGCGCATGTACAAGGGTTTATATTCTACGGATAACTAACGGAATGATCAATAAACAAAGGTGCGAGGCTATGTAGGAAGTATAAGCAAAGTATGTGCACAGCGTATTGGTAAGTCAGATGGATCACGAATCATGAACCGGGAATGAAGTATAAGTTAAAGCGATCAGTAAGTGTAGCGGATCAGTAAGCATAGCAGAAGTAAAGGATAACCGGAATACTGGTGTACAGAAATACTGAAAGGAGATGAACGATAGTTAGAGTTATATGAACAGGACATGAAATAAGAATCAGATCAGATCTGTGGACTGGACAACAGATATGTTCATCAGATCTGGATCAGATCTGAGATCCGGATCTTTGGATCTATACCCAAATATATGGTCTATAACAACAAGAGGAGATGTAAATCTGTGGCAAGTTGTCTCTCTCCCTCTCATAGGGTCCTGCTGCATGTAGAGGAAGTAAAGTAAATTCAGCGGTGGGACACCATCAGATATATGAGCCAGGGCAAACATTCAACTTCTTAAGGGCTTGGACCATGGGGTCAATGATATGATGCCAAAGCTTGCAGAGGATGCCCACAAGCTTGTTCATGATCACACAAAATTTCCTTTTCTCATTTGAGTCATTCAACCATTACAGTGTGTGTGTGAAAAACCCTGTTACCAACATTACTTTTTCAAACTGCTGTAGGTAATTGTCTTGGTGAGGTTCAAATGTGTCTGAACCAGTTCTAGGTAGATTCGAGCCCCAAACAAGACTCAAGGTTTGGTCCAGGAGCCATGCCAGACCTGTGACTCGACCTTGAGTTCAGTTCGGAAAGGTTTAGGTTCAAACTAAGGTTCAGAACCAGGCTATGGCAGCACTAATAACTTGTCAGGCTCTTGTATGATAAGTTGAATATGCAAACACAGCACATTTCAAACACCTGACTCATTCATCTCAAGTATGTGGCCAGCCAAGGGAATCATTTACTCACCTTCTTGACTATGTCAACTTTATTAACTGTCATGAAAGCATCCCATAACTAGGTCATGCTGTGGTCTTGAAGGATGCTAATCTACTTATTGATGACAAAGTAACTCTCTTTGCAGGCAAGTTGCTCCAACATTTTCTATTGTTTTTCAGAGCTCTACTTCATATAAATACAATGCCAAAAAATATGGTGTTTTCACAGGCCACAAGCCCTAGTGTTGAGCTGTCAAATCAGTGTACAAGGTTGCAGTCACAGTAGGCTGTTGAATTGATTGTACTGGTACAGTACCATGTGCAGGTTGCATTTAGGTAGCTATTGGTGACCTTTGAAGTTGGGTCTTGAGCCACTCTGAATGTTGTGCTTGAGGGTATATGCAGGGCTGGTCACTGTAACTGTATATGGTTACAGCTGTACAATTTACAATGGGTTTATGGGTACTACCTGTATTGTACCATATGTCATACAATGCATTTGAAATGTTTGACAGTACAGTACAGATTACTGTATGGTCATATGACTAGCTTATATTGTCATATGAGAGATGTGGAAATTGAATTACAATACTAACTATGTAGTACTGCAATGTGAATATGAATCAAGTGATTACCGTGGTAACATTACAAGTGAGGTGCAGATGTTGCTTAAGCAATGTCAATAAGAACCTGGCACCATTCAATGTTCAGGTAAGACATGTCTCCATGTGTTGCATGCTTGTCTGAGTCTGGCTTCCTGTCTACTAGTAGCAACATATCAGGATTGCTTAATGTAACAGAAAAACATATATTACTGTAAGAAGGTCATGATGCTGGCACAGACAACCCAGCCAGCACCAACACACAAGATGTGAATGCACATGAAGATAGTGTGGGCAGTCATGTTCTTCAAAGATGGTCAACAGATCCTCACTGCTTCCAAGGTATAAGGATAAAACCCTGCAAATCTGGGACACAAAGAAAAGAACATTGGTAGGAGGGCTATGGCATTTGAAGGACAAAGTGATGATGTGAGAAGAGTGGGTTTGATGTGGCAGTGACAAGGCATAGGTAAGTGTGGAGGTTTACATTAGTATGGAGGCTGCAAAAATGTTGGGGAGAACTTGACATGGTACAGTGAGTGGTGCTTGACATGGTAGTACAGAGTATAGAGGGTGCACCAGACTTGACAAGGTGAGGTCGAGGATTGCCACAGTGAGACAATACTTCACATTGCCATCTGAAAACCAAACATTAGATCAACAGTTAGAGGTAATATAATACAAATACAAGATGCACACAACATTTCTCAAGTAGTACAAACACAGAGGACAAGCACTGTAAAATTGGTAAGAGGTGAATGTAGCATTCCAGGGTCATAAGATGGTGTTTGAACATGATCTATACCCTAGGATTTGTGACAGCACTGCATTAATTTCACCTGGCCTGGTAGCATGAGGAGCTTGTGAGTAGTAGTGTCACGGCTCGGTTCTGGCCAGTTCAGGCTCAGCTCTTACCAATTTCCCAGCAGTTTGGCGATCCTCATGAACCAAGTCACTCATGTGCAACTCGGTCTGGTCCGCAAGGCACCTAAATCAGCACAGATGACACAAGCCAAGAATGTGGGAACAATAGATTAAGCCGGCCTCAAGCCAGCTGGTGGGGTTTGGGTGGCGAACTCATTTTCAGGCTTTCTCCAACTTCCCTCTCCCCAGAGTCCCCACTATCTAGTTGGATTCACTGTAAGTTACCATGAATAAGGTCCCGGTTTGAGTGGACGGTAGATTTAGGCTGGCAGAGGTTTTAGGATCTGGTTCCTATGGTATGTAGTAATTTATTCAAATTTATTGTTCACATGCTGGTTCAGATCCACTTATATTATACCACTTAGCTGTCGTGTATTCTGCATGGAATATCATCAATGATGATCATGTTGCCCTCAAACTCAAAACCATTGTTGACCACTCATCTTATGTAGAGCATGAATACTGGATTATAAAACAACTTGAAGGCGGAGTTGGCATCCCCCGCACCCTCTGGTTCAGTAGAGAGTCAGCGTATCATGCTCTGGTTCTCGAACTCCTTGGGTCATCACTCCACCAACTCTTCCTCACGAACAATCAAAGATTCAGCCTTCTCAATGTTGTGAATCTAGGAGTCCAGTTGGTTAGTTGTTTGGTTTGAGGTCTTTGCAGATAGGTCGACTGACTTTCCTAGCTCTCATGTCTTGAGTACATTCACTCGCGCAATTATGTTCACGGCAACATCAAACTGCAAAACATCTTGGTCAGTCTTGGAAATCTGAGGCACACCGCCTTCATCATCAATTTTGGTATCACAAAGATGTACTGGAACACCACAACCAGTGACCATGTGCCATTTCACCATGGTCAAAGTCTCTCTGGTACTCCTGCATTTGCCTCAATCAACAACCACTTAGGAGTTGAGCCAGGTCATTGTGATGATTTCAAGTCGCTCACCTACATGTTAATCTATTTCTTATGTGGCTTCCTTCCATGGTTAACAAGTGATGACAAGAAGTTGTCCAACTCTACCATACTCGAGCGCAAAGCACATGCCACCATTGCAGATATATGTCATGACATCCCTGTTGAGTTCGCCAATATTCTTATTTACACCTGCACTCTCACATTTGCAGAAGATCCTGATTACGATCACTTGTGTTCATTACTTCATGGTCTTTGTGCCACATTGCCTGAACCAGCTACATGCATGTTGGATTTTAGCCAACCTGATGGTCCTGCCATACCTCCCCCTCTATCACCTGACCAGTGCTGTGTGGCCGAAGCAATGTCACCATGTCCACCAAAGGTAGTGTGCAGATCAACTCTTGTGTGAGTAATGTTTGTTCCATATCTTTGAACCGAACTTTGACTTATTTGCAAGGTTGCACCCATGTAATGGCTCTGCATGGCATGCTATGTCAACTCCACAACAGACATTGCGACCGGTTAACTAAATAACACTGTTGTAGACTTATCTGTACATACTGTATCCGTCTCACTAGACACAATATTTCAGTACTCTGAAATAAGGGGCAAGACTCGGGAAAGGGGCACAGCCCACAAGCTGAGGCCAAAGCCCTTTGGATCTGATACCTTTTGAGTATGGTCTTAACACTTATACTCCCACTTGTTCATGCAAGACAGCATTGTGAGAATCATTCTGGTGCTAGGTGTATAGACCTGCATAAGCCTTGAATAAGTAGACCAAAGTTAGCCCTGATATCATTCACTACTCCCTTATCAGCAGTCTTCACTTATCTCAGCTATAACCCTTGTCTGACACTAGTCTGCACTTTCCCACACTATGCACGCACATCCCGTGGTGCTATTCCTGTGCTTAGAGTGCTACTAGAACAACCAGCAATGTGTTTTAGGTCCATTAGTGCATGTCCACTCCATCTAGTGCTTTTCCTATGCTTAGCGTGTATCTAGTGTGCTGTTCTCATGCTCTAGGAACCACTTGGAATGTCAGAATCTATCTATTACCTATCCTACCTCATTGGTACATATTTTGCCTTGCTTCATGTTTTGTAACAGGTGTTGTAGTCTTACTACATGTACATCCCATCCCTTCTGAGTCCAACATGGTATAGTCTACTAGTATAAGAAGCCTATGGTAACCACTTCAATATTACTACCCTTCAACTGTATTTCCTTCCCCTTAGGTTTTACTTAGAAGTAGTCACCTTTAGTTGCGCTCTATAGCCCCTATTGGTTCCCTTATACCTGAACCCTATACCTTGACTTTCCCTTACTCTTGAGGTATTGACCTCACTTGCTATCTACTACCCTCCTTTAACTCTTGACCTCTGCTTTTCCTGTGCATAGCGCTTATCTGCATCTCTGCTATAGCGCTCATCTAGCACTATACACTTCTGCTTTTTCATACTTTCCCATGTATTAGTGCAGTATCTTGTGATCCACTTTCCCATACATAGCACTCTTTTGGGTCTTTCTATCTTAAGTTGTTCTCAGTAACTATTCCCTTAGGTTGAACGTTCTTGCTTCATTGTTTGCAAGTATAGCAGCATAGGCAGTGCATTAGACATATATTTACACTGGGTGTTTACACATGACATTTGTGGTGTTGAGAATGATGTGGTGGAGCTTAGATATCAATTGCATAAAGACACATGGTCCTGAAAGACCTCTATGACACAACAGATGTCACATCATCTACAAGCTTACAGTTTGGTGATTGAACCTGGTTCAAACATGAACCAGACCTCCCAAACATGTTTGGTGACATCTAGTCCAGGGTTCAATCAAATGGCTGAACCTGAACCTGTGGTTTGGTTTGGTATTCAGAAAATTTGCCCAAAGAACTGGACTGAACTGGACTTTGGCAGCACTACAAGTTATGCCATGCAGGTGAAGTTGAGGAACCTCACAGTTGATGATTTACAGTTTGGGGATGACCTCACAAGCCATGTGCCCCAAGAGATGAAGGACAGCACCCAAAATGAAAACAAGAATGAAACTGGAATACTAGGTGAGGCTATGGAAATTGATGGTATTGACCCATCCAATGACACTGATGTACTGTGTGCATCTGTCATTGCTAATATGCTGCTGGTCAATGCTCCAAGTGTTTAAGGAGTTGAAAAATTGAATGGAAGACTGATTTCAAAGGCTGACATAGAGAGTGCAGAGTTTGTAGTGGATATTGGGGCTATAGAGGACACTGACTGTGAGCCAGATATTCAAGTAGCATTAGGGTAAGGAAAAAGGAAGAAAATGGTAAATGACCTATAACTGAGACTTATTTTTAACACTGACATGTACCAGCAAGCTTAATTAGGCTTGATTACAGTAAACCTCCAACACCAGCATTAAATATTGCTCAAAATACCTTTTTACCTTATACTGGCTGGGATCTAAATATATGGAGTATGACATTTGGATACAGAGTGGACACAGATGTGTGAAAGCATCCGCCAATTCTCCCCATCTCAGTTGGGTTACTTGGTGAATGATGAGCTCTCTGTGGAGGTGCATGGATGGGTCCTCTACATGATGACCTGCTAAACATATCTCCTACATCTATTCAAGCTCCATAATTCAGGATGTAACTTGGAATGAGGTCAAAATGTCTCACTTGGCAAACATGAATACCAAGTTTCACTTCCCTTGTTTATGTACCATTGCTTTCAGTATTGGAGATACTCTGAATATGGGGCAAAACCAACTCAAAGCTATCTATCAACATTGTGCTTCTTGCAGTTCTTCAAAACTGCTTCTTCAGTCAATGTTATCTCACAGTACATATTGTATTTTCTGATCCAGAATAAAATATATGATTTGTGCATGTTCTGAGAAGGAATATACTGCAAATATTATTTATTTATTCTGACAAAACTTGGAGCATGTTTCACAAATTTCCTCTTACCAAATATACAAAGTAATTTGTGAGAGTTTCTTTGCTTTTCCTCAACAAAACATTTTTAAAAAAAATTGTTATCATTTTTCTCAATGTTCCTGGATCAAACATGTAGTGAACTGGATGAAGTAATTGAGACTCTTCATATACAGAACATTTGAAAAACATAGAAAAGAAAATCAACATTATTATAAGCTGTTATTTGAAAATAATAAATGGAAAATTTAGCATTCTCCTTGAAGAAAAATTTACTAATTTTTGAATCATGTCCTATGTACAGAAAATCTTTGATATACCAAAAAAAAAATTCATTGTTTTAATAAGTAAAATACAAGGAATTTCTATCTTCTAATTCAATGTTTTTTGAATGTTTGGTGGAGAAAAATGAGTAAATGCCTGCAGTGACTAGGTTTGGTAGAATGACCTCCAGAAATAGTTGCCTTTCAACCATATTCATCTACTACCTTCTTGGTACAGGAGAAATATAAAATCTCTTACTAATGTGGTGAAAGAAATACTAGTCAGCTAATGATTGCAAGTACAATACTTCAACCCAAGAGAAATGCTATTGAAGTACTTCCTTCTAGATTAGTACAAGGGAAGGGAAGGAAACAAATTTAGATCTAATTGATTGTTAATAGATAGAGCAGACAATTGCCTGTTGTCCATATTTGAAGGTATCTGGTATGGGTAGAACATGGATAGGTCATTTGAAAGTGTAGCAGCTGAAATGGATGAGAAGATTCAAGAATAGAAGACTAGGTAAGGCTAGAGCTTTGCAAGGGGAGGACTAGGTAGGACTAGGCATGTCAAGGTAAACTAGGTATGGGTTACCTGAGCAAAGACCACTGATAGTGGTCCAGGCCTTGAAAGGGCCTAGGTATGAGGACCCTAGATAGTACACACTTAAAGTGGCCTAAGGTGCATCTGAAGGTAATGAGCAAGGATAAATTACACAAAGTCAAAGGCTAACTAAGGTGACTTCACATGTAAGTTCAGAGAAGGGAAATAAGCTAGAATATGAGCAGGACAACTTTTTATCTTACTACATGAATGTCCAGGATCATATAGACAAGAACAGTAGTGAAACACAGAGCATGCAGTTAATATGAAATAAGGCTTGCATGTGTTGTGGCCATAGCAATACATGTAATAACACCTATTGCACATTTAGTAATAATAAGGATAAGCTACTAATGCACCAATGGAGATAGGTGGACATGAGCAGGATATGGGAAGATGGAGTGCTTATAGAATGGAAGTGTGTGATGGCTGCAATAAATATGAATGGTCGAGATGGATACCATGGCTGAAGACAATAGATGAAATAGATAAGGCTGGTCATCTAGAAAGTGATGAATGTAAGACAGGTACTTTCTTGATAGTCTCTCCTCTATATGAAAATGAGGTCATATGAGGCTGGAGCCAGAATGATTGTTACATCTGTGAAAGACTCCAATACTGACCATCTCTAGTCAGGGAGATATGGATTGGACTTAGTCAAATTTTTCATCAATAAAGGCACAATCAAACAGCAGCTGACTAAGTCAGCACTGGGAGGTACATTTGGAGGCCAGGAGTTTCACACAATTTATGTAAATAGATAGATCATCCATAGAAAATACTTTAAATATGCAGAATGCAGTGTAAGACTCAATATCAACAAGGTCATGCTACCTGTCCTGCCCCAGAGGACAGTAAGATGTCATACCCACTAAAACCCCTGACTGCCTGATCCAGTTGTTGGGCAAGTTTTCTTTATTGAGTAGGATTCCACTTTAGGTTCTTAGAACCTTATCTACTTTAGTAGCTTTTTTTCTAAATCTTGTAGTGTTGGTGAGTAATTTGTCAAGTTTTAATCTATTATTTACGGCTTTGAACTATCTGTTGTGTATTTCTTTATGTTGCCAAATTGATTGTACACTCCTATTGAATCTTCCAAATTAAGTGTGTAGATTTGAGGACTAGAATTAAGAAGAGACAATGTTTCCTTTCCTTTTTTCTATCCTTTTCATCTCTGAAGATAGCTATGTTACATCCTAGGATGGTTCCAAATTTTATGAATGGCCATGAAGTTTCTCCCTTAAGCTAAAGTTCTTATGCAGTGTCCGAGATGATCTTAGATACAGTAGATTTGTGACATTCTAGCAGGATTATGCTCCAAGGTGTCTGAGGCTTTACATTTGCCTTGGTTTTAGTGATTAGGTATGTTATTGCAAAAGTCATCTATTGTAAAGGTGTTATGAATACTTTCCAGAGAAATCCCCAAATAGATCTCAGTATGTCAGTCTCTAAATGAGTTTTATATCTGTGTTGGGGTTGGAGTCAATAAGTTGATGCCACAGATGGCATATTGGATTTTTACAAGGTTCATTCTTGTTGAACAGTATTGATGGGGGTTTGGTTTTTTTTTCCGTCTTATTGCTTAGTAGAACAGGCACTGATTGCCAATT